TTCCGTATTTCATTAAGAGAAGTCCACTCTGAATTTTGGGTCTAGATATTTGCAGGAGAAAAGCCTTTATGTGTATGGTTGTATGCAAACTGGTTTCTTCTGAGCTGTCTTTCTCCTGCAGATGCTCACATTTTCTGTGTTTAAATGTGTGCAGGAACCTGCAATCAGGGATCCCACTGTAAGGTTTCTAGACCTGAATCTTAGGGAATTTGATGGCAAGAATTCAGGTAGAGGCTCATAAAAAAAACAACCCTTTACTTGGCCAAGTGAAGGCGCTGGGTGGGCAACAATCCCAAGACACAGGCGACAGAATGTGCTGGGAGGCACCACCCCAACAAGATTTCAAAGGCAGTTTTTATAGCTTTGCAAGGACAATAGATTGCAACGAATAAGGCAGTTTAAGGCAGTTTGAACTGGGTTCCCCCTTTACCCTCAAGACCTTTTCCCTGCGCCCTTCCCTCAAGGTCTTCTGTGTACATGTCCTTCTTGCTTCAAAATAATAGTTTCTTCCTAGCGCAAGCGAAAAATACAGAGGCAAGATAGCCAGAGCTAGGCTAAGAAAATCCCCCCCTCCCCTTCACCACTACTATTGGAGTATTAACTAGAACACTCACATAGCAAGCACTCCAGATTTTTTTAATGAGTGAAAAGCATCCGACTTCCTATTATTTGAAACAATAGAGCAATGTCTGGCCTGTGCTGGTTTTACTAACCGCAACCAAGCGGATGAGGTTAACAAGCTGGAGTGACTGACAGAACCACTGCCCCCAACAGCCCTATCCCAGGATTCCTAAAAAGATAGGGAGGAATCTTGATACTTACCCTGCTCTTTACTTATTATACTAGCTGGCTTAAAGAAAGGCCCCTGTAACGCTTTTATTAGTAGCATTTAAAATCTTACTTATTGTGTTTTTATTTTTATATATTTTTATTATTATATTTTAATATGGTTCTCACTTCTACATTGGATGAACTTTTTCAGTACTCCTGGCATTCAAGTGAGACAGATAAGCAATAGCATCTTTTCTTAATTGTAATGTGATCTAATGGGGCAAGTGAGAGAAAACTGAGATTAGGTAGCTGCTGCTGGAGGTAAAGGTGGAATAACATCCTTTGGCATTAAAGCAGAAAACAAGTATGTGCAGATTCTACCTCAGCCGAGTGTTTTTGCCTCACACATTGATTTCTTCTCCCATCCATTCTATCCTACTTTATATAAGCTTATATTTTATCAAATCTTTATTTCAGTCAGAGAACAGCATAAACTTATGTTTTAGTTTTAACTTATCAGGAGGAGCTTAGGAGAAGCTGCATAAAAAGCAAGCTTCTGTTAAGTTGCATGTGCCCATGCAAAGACATCATTTACAGCCTGAGAACTTCATTAGTGAATTTTACCAAGCCCTCAGCTTGCTTCAGGAGCATTCATGTTTATTTATTAATTACATTTATATTTAACCTCTTCTCTAAGGTGCTCAATGTAGTTACCTCTTGTTTAATCTTCAAAACAACCACCTGTGACTTGGAGAAAGTGCCTGGCTCAAAGCCACAGTAAGTTCCATTATGGCTTAGGGGAGAATTGTACCTGGGTCATCCTGAGGCCCATTCAGCCACCTAATCACTATACCACACTTGCCCCCAGTTTTTTTCTGTGACATATCTTTCTTCTGGAAATTTTCAAATTTTCAATTTTATTATTTCATCATGTCAAAACTCTGGTTCAGTTTTTGCAAACAAATTGTTTAGAATCCAACCTGAACATCTGATAACTCTTAAATTTCATTTCCTGGAACCTAATTAGGCCATAAATCAATAAGGGTCTCTATTCTTCATTTTTACTTCTATTTCATTAATAGAATTCAAACTGTGGCTGGTGTGGGTCTTCCGGGTTGTGTGGCCGTGTTCTTGAAGTTTTGTTTCCTAACGTTCAATGAAGGTCAACAAACTCAGCTCAACCACCAGGACATGTGAACAGTTCACACAATGAACTTGCTAATCACCCCCAGCAGCC